TAGAATGTTCCCGTAAGTTAAAAAATCCTTCGGGGTAAGTTAAAAAATCTAACTTTCGTAGGTTCATACTTATGTAATTTAATGATTTTATGAGTTATTACTAAATCTTAAAATCATTAAGTATAATATATATTTAACAATTTTCAGATTTAATATATTATATTTTTATATTATTAAATATCAGAAAATAAACTAAATATCGGTATATTTTAATTTTTTCACATTTATAAAATTTTTATTTCATTTTTTAAGAAAAATGCTAAATTTTCGATAACGTTTTCAATTGTAATGTAATTCTTAAACATTAGCAGGCCTTGCGATAAAGCGTCGGGCAATGTGAATTTTACGTTGTCTAAGAGCGATTTTGCGTGAGCTAGAGCTATTTGCATTGAGCAAAATTTTTTTTGTTTGAGTATATTTAAAGATATTTTTGAGCGGAATTTTAATGAAGTAATTTACGATTATTTTAACATTTAATAAAGTATTTTAAAAACCGCACGCATTTGACATAAAAGTTTGATTACAAAAAAATTAAATATGCTCATTATTTACAAGTAGAAAAAATTCAGATTAAAAAAAAAAATAAAATCTTTTTAAGCTAACATTTTAATAAAATTATTCAGCAATAGCAAAGTTGTTGATAAAATTAAACAAAAATACTTTTTTTTAGTTTTAGATTTTTAACTTAAATAATTGTTTTACAGGGATTTGTTAGGTTTTAAAATTATTCCATAGATTTAAAAATATTTATTAACTATTAGACGTATTTAAAGAGTAATTTTGAGTAAACATTTTAAAAATTGGTAAGCGCAAATAAAAAAAAATAAAAGGATTAATATTAAAACGTATTCTACTTGATTCAATAAAAAAGTACAGCTATTAAAATTTTTGTAAAAAGTAACTCGAAAAAAATTACTTAAATAATAACAATCGCTTTTTTGTTAAATTTTACAAAAACTTAACAAAGCACGCTCAAGAACAGCTGCTGAAAAATAGGACGTCAAAAGTTTTTCGAATAATTTTTAATAATAATTTTTTCGCTGAAATATGTCTTTTATACCTATAAGATTTTTATTCTAACATTTTATTTTATTTTACCAAAAATAAAATTCCTTGTAAACATTAAAAACCTATTCAAAACCTTCGTTAAAGTTTTTTAGTAATACGAGTGATTGTGCTTATCAACTGCTTTATGAAAATAAAAATAAATAAATAAAAAAATATTATATAAAATCGCTAGTAAAAATATTAGCTATTGCACAGTTTTTAATTGTACAAAATTAAAATTTCCAGTTTATTACTCGCTGACTTTTTAAAAAGAAAAAATAAATATTTGAAAAACTATAAATTACATATTTGAGCAAAAAAAAAATCAAATATTAGCATATTTTATAATCTTTTTTAAATGTTTAGTTATGTTTTTTATTTGTTTAGTATAGACAAAACATGTCAAACATCGATAACATAAACAAATGTTTTTACATTTAAAAAAACAAAACATTCCAAAATATTTTTAAATAATAACATTTCTACATTAATGATTTAAAGTAATTTTGCGGTAATTAAGTAAATTGGTGCAGTTAATGTTGATAAATATGAAAAGCAAATAAAAAGAATTTAATGACGTCAAAAATCACGTCGTGCTTATGCGTTGCGCAGTTTTTATTCATCACAAAGCCTGCATTAGCCTTGCAATTTTTTAAAATAATCTGAAATGCTCTTTTAGAACTCTGCAGTTAGTTCCAAGCAAACATCTAAGTTGAATAAAATATAAAATAAACAGGTTGTCCCAAGAGTTGAGCAAATAAAAAGATGTTGGAGACCAGAAATATTGCTGGTTGTGGTTACTTAGACTAAACTAGACAAAAAAAAAAAAAAAAAAAACTGGCACTGAGTGCCTTTAGAAGCGGCTGCTAGTTTTATACAAACAGGAAAATGTTTTATCAAATTTAGTTTAAACAGCTTGAAAGAGTATGCTTATCTTTATAACTAGCTACTTCTAATCTATTCTGGTGCATATTAATCAATTCTTTAAAAAAACCATTTCAATCTTTAACTTAACATTTGTACTTTTTTTATTTAATTAATATGTCATAAAAGATAAACATTTCTTATAAAAAATACATAATTAAATAAATTAAAAAAAACAACAGTTTGTTAATACTTATTTAAAAATGAATTAGAAGTGTTTTGTAACTTCATTGAAAAGCGTTTCGGTAATATAAAAGCATTTAAAATCAAACTTATTTAACTGTAACAGCTTTCTAAAACTTTTTTTTTTTCAACAAAATTTTGTTTATTTTTTTAAATGTATTAACTTTAATTATTCTTATATTAAAATTCATTAAAGTGACTTTCATAATCATAGAATGCCATCGTTTATAAAAATAAAACAATTTTTTATTTTTTAATAAAGTTTGTTATAGAAATGAACACTTAAACAGTTTATATATCATAAATTAAAAAAGTATATACAACTGTCAATTATATATTTTTTTATAATAAAAATTATCAGGAACTTGTTACTTTATTTAAAACCATTTCGCTAATTTAAAACATTTGTTAAGAAATTTTGATGTAATAATTTCACCTTTTCAGAATAATTTAATTTTTATTTTAAAATGTTTTTTGAATTAGCTGCAATCAAATCAAATCCTCATAGCAAAATGTAATTTCATATAAAAACATATAAAATGGTCATATAAAAACGTGTATATATATATATATATATATATATATATATATATATATATATATATATATATATGTATATATACACACATCAGCCTTGGTCGGGAAGCGGGTGCGATCGCACTCGATAACTGACCACAGAAATAATATTTAGTTGCAAAAAACTGGCCAGATTTTTTAGTGGTTTTGAGAACATTGTAGTTTATGTATGTTTCCTTGTTTGTCCGCAAAATAATAAGTTCATTTTGTCGTAAATTTAAAAAAATTTTGTTTTACGGACATAAATAGAAATGTACATAAACTTGATTGTTCTCAAACATCTTAGTGCGGAAAAATAAAAAAAGAATATTCACGAACACAAAAAACCCTCTAAATCTACAAACAAATAATTCTATTGGTTCAAAAAATACTAACCGAAATTTGTAAAGTATTCAAAATAAACTAACCGAATGTCCTGAGTATTTAGTTGAAATATTTTTAAAAACTGTATTATTTGAATTTTGTTACGCTTTTGTTAAGATTTCTAGCATAAATTATTTTAAGAGTATACTATCAAACAAACTAATGATTTAACTCTTGGAGTCACATCTGCAAAGCTATAAATAGTTTAAACTAACATTTGTTTACAAAAATAAATGTTTTAAATTTATATTTTTTAACTTGTCAACGTTTTGTAAATATATTTTAGATTTTATTAGTATATTACTATTTTTTATATATAAGGGATGTATTTTTTATGTATGTAATGTATTTTTATGTATGTAATGTATTTTTATCTATGTAATTTTATCTATGTGTATTTTATTCAAATGTAATCTTTTAAAGCGATTTGTGCGATTGATTTTGTAAATTATAATACTTTTGATAATAACTGCGTTTTTAATGAATTTATTAATAATCGTTAAAGTTAATACAAATAATTTTAACCACTAATCTATTTTCCTCAGTGTACCTGATAACTGATTCTTTCTCCCAAGAAAGAAAAGTTTTTAAGTTCTTAGAAATTGGTTTACTAACTTCAATTATTTTTGCTTCAGCCATTCTTACAAAACTTGTTATACTTGAAGTTACTTTTTTCTGTTTTAAATACTAATTGAAATTTTGAAATCCACTCACTAAACATCATCAGTGGTATTGTGAAGCAGTTCCGCTTCCTCCTAACAAAGTAATTTAACGTTTTTTGTTAATTTCTATTTGGCTAATTGAATTTCTACAGTAACTCAATGATTTAACGATTTCATTTGTTCATCTTATTAAGAAGAATTGTTTCAAATCTGTTCAACTTTTTAAACTACGCGAAGCATAAAATAGTTATTGAAAAAACTTTTTTTTTAATAAATAAATCATCTGGTTCAATCTTGTTGGACTTTTCAGGGTCGACATCTGCATTATTTTGGCGGCCTTTTTTATGTGCCACAGCGTAAAAATGACTTGAAAAAATACAGAATGGTCTTCTTGACTATTTCCTCTAACATTGTGAGTCCCGCGGCTAAAGCCCTACTACCCCCACCCCACCTCCTCAATCCAGCACTGGAAATAAGACATAAGTATATAAATAAAAATTATATATACTCTTTGAAAAATCAAAGAACATCTTCTTCTTTATAGTTGTTACTTTATATAAAAAAATTTCGCTTTATTTTATAAAAAAAGTTAGAAAAGAACGACGTTTCAAAAATTATTGCTCTTCGCATTTTTTCGCAATTTTTCTATTTTTAACTGTTTCTCGTCAGTCCAGTTAATCTTATTGCCCTTTTTTGTTTGTTTTTGAAATGTTCTCAAAACGTCTTCAAAATCTGGCTGGTTTTTCACAACTAAATAATATTTCCGTGGTCAATTATCGAGTGCCATCACATTTGCTTCCCGACTAAGCCTGTATACATATATATATATATATATATATATATATATATATATATATATATATATATATATATATATATATATATATATATATATATATATATGTATAAAGATATGTGTGTGTGTTATTTTCAGAGCGGTGACAAACTATAGTACTTTATGAAAAATTGCTTTTTTTACCAGTTTTTTTTTTTAAATTATTTTATTTATCATTTTCACTTTTTTTATTTCAAACTTAATAGCAGAAAAAAATGAACTTTTTAAAACACACAGGCTAACTAAAAAATGACCATCCTGTCAGCGATTTTTTGTGCGCTGGCATTAAATTTCAAACAGAGAAGACTGGATATAATGTAATGAAAACTTAGTGAAAAAAGTGTTAACGGCGCTAAAAATCAAACTAATAAAAAAAAAATAACAATTTAACAAAATAGGAAAAAACTTACCTAATACAGTGATGTTGATTGTTACAGAATAATTACCATCTGAGCAGCTATATGATCCAGAGTCATTTACTGATGTATTATTTTTGAAGAAATAACTGGTATTCAATTCAGGATAAAATATATTTCCATTAAACATCCAAGTGGCACTTTGTTCAGTTACACAGGTCAAATTAAATGACGCTCCAGTTTTTATGTATGATAAATTTGGCTCAACACTAAATGTTAAACCTAATTCAAAAAACAATCTAAGTATAATTTATATATATATAGAACAATAAATTAATAATTCAAAAAACAATAAATAATTATTCAAAAAATAATCTAAATATAATTTATATATATACATATATATATATATATATATATATATATATATATATATATATATATATATATATATATATATATATATATATATATATATATATATATATATATATATATATATATATATATAGAGAGAGAGAGAGAGAGAGAGAGAGAGAGAGAACATTAAAAGCACATCTATACCAGCAATCTGGCATCACACTATAATAAATGCATAAATATACATATATATGCATTTATATATATATATATATATATATATATATATATGTATATATTAAATATGTATATATATATATATATATATATATATATTAAATATGTATACATGTATATATATATGTATATATATGTATATATATATAAATATATATATATATGTATATAGGTATATATATATATATATATATATATATATATATATATATATATATATATATATATATATATATATATATATATATATATATATATGTATATATGTATATATATATATATATATGTATATATGTATATATGTATATATGTATATATATATATATATATATATATATATATATATATATATATATATATATATATATATATATATGTATATATATATATGTATGTATATATATATATATATATATATATATATATATCTTGAACAAAACAAAGCCTACGGAGCCGAAAAGTTACATCTATCTATTTTTAAAAACTTTGCTACTGCTTTCGCTCTTCCTCTAACACTAATTTTTATGGAGTCAATAGAAAAAAGTCAACCTCGAAATCAATTTTATTCAGCAAATATAACTGCACTATATAAAAAAGGTTAAAAGACTGATTTTGAAAATTATAGACCTATATCACTTCCATATATTACTTTTAAAATACTACAAGGCATTATTAAAAATAAGTTTGAAAAATATCTTCATGAAAATAATATTATAGCTAATCAACAGCATGGATTCGTTAAAAAAAGATCATGTACTACAAATTTATTTGAAACTCTAGATTATATTACAAGAAATGTGGATAAAGGAATTTCTGTGGATGTAGTTTTACTTGACTTTTAAAAAGCATTTGATACTGTACCACATCAAAGGCTTATCTTAAAACTTGAAGAGTATGGTGTTAGTGGCTTAGCACTTCACTGGTTTTATGCTTTCTTATCTAATAGAAGGCAGAGAATTATTATGGAAGATAATGTCTCAACTTGGGCTGATGTGTATATTGGAGTTTTCATACTTTATATAAATGATCTTCCTGAGTCTCTAAAAAGTATTTTAAAATTATATGCTGATGACAAAAAAATCATCTTGATTAGTCTTTCTTATGAGTTACATAATAAACTACAATGTGATTTGAACTTTGCATATGCTTGAACACAAGATTAGTTACTTAATATTAATATTGACAAATGTTTAGTTATGCTCTATGGCTATAAAAATATAAATATTAGATACCCAATTTATATAAATGGTTGTAAAGTCAACATATCAGATTCAGAAAAGAACCTAGGAGTGATTTTTTTTTGATAATTTGAAGTGGAAAAATCAAGTCTTATCGAGTGCAAGCAAAGCAGACCGCATTTTAGGTACAATAAAAAAATCTTTTGTTCAATTTGATGCAGAACTGCTAAGTTCTGCATCAAATTGAACAAAGGAAATATACACTCTGTATATTTCCTTTGTTCGACCGCTGCTGGGGTTTGCTGTGCCGGTTTGGGCTCCTTATCAAAAATGAGATATTGCAATTTTGGAAAGAATACAGCGTCATGCCACTAAATTGGTACCTTCAATCAATAAATTATGCTATGAAGATCGACTATCTTGTCTTAGAATGCCCTCACTAGTTAAAAGAAGACAATGTGGTGACATAATTCAATTGTTTAAAATTTTTAAAGGTTAATATAAAGTTGAATTTAAAAGAAAATAAATTTGAATTCAATTGTTTAAATTTTTTAAAGGCTAATTTAAAGTTGAATTTGAACGAAAATAAGTCCTTAAAATGTTATTGTACTTGTGGCCATAACCTAAAGTATTCTAAAGAATTTTCTGTACATAATTATAGAGAAAATATTTTATCAAATCGAGCTGCAAATTATTGGAATGCACTGCCCAAAAATGTCTTTAAAGCTAATTCAGTCAACTCATTTAAAGCAAGACTTGATCGATGGGAGCCATGCCATCACAAGACTCAGCTGTCATAGTGTGCTTTAAAACCACACTCACCGGTAGCAATACCAGTCACAGCATAAACTAATACTAATACTAATATATATATATATATATATATATATATATATATATATATATATATATATATATATATATATATATATATATATATATATATATATATATATATATACATATATATATGTATAAATATACATACTGTACAAATTTACTGCTTTTATGTATGTATATATATATATATATATATATATATATATATATATATATATATATATAAGCAGTAAATTTCCTTACTGTCTGAGTATATCATATAGAAGCAGCAAGCAGTAAATTTGCTGAACATCTGTAGTATATCATTGAAAATGATATACCAAAGAAGTTTTGTTACAAAGACCTATATGCTGTTTTGTCTAAAATTCTCAAACAAATTTTATCAAATTTTAGCAATTTTTTTTGATTCAGCGGTGAATTCAAAACAAGCTATGGTAAAAGCTTTACATGTATGACCAGGCTAAGATGACCCTTTTTGACCATATTACTAAATGATAAAAAAACACTATGAGCATAAAAAACTTGTTATAACATGAGTTCCATGTTGTTTTTTGATTGTCTGAAAACCAATCCAGAAATGTAGGAGATCAGCTATGATTATAAAACTAATCTAAAATTGTTCATTATCTTAAAATTGTAAATAACAGCATAGAAAGGGGAGTAGCTTTAAAAGACTTTTAACAATTCTTTAATTCTAAAGTATGTATAAGTATCTATAACTCTGTGACCAGGGTTGCCATCTGGTGTTTTTTAAAGCCAGATTTCTCAAACCTGGTTTGTTTTTTTTACCGTTTGGCTTGGAACTTTTGTTTTGGTTTATTTTAGAAAATCTGGTTTAAATATGGTTTATTTTAAAGTCTTCGGCCTTTTTTTTCTTTTCTCTAGTATGTTATTTAATAATAAATCAATTTAATTAAGTTTTTATTTCATAAAAAAAGTTAATTTGAGGGAAAGATAGATTTCCATTTTTTCACTTTATAGAAGAACAGTCAAGTTTAAGATAAATGGAAGAAATGCTTACATTAAAATCTTAAAACGTGAAAAACTTTTACTTGTAATGTAATTAAAATGTTGTTTTTATCCCTTAATTACCAAAATATAAAAAAATTCTTACATTTAAAATGACATTTTTTGAGAAAAATCTGCCTGTAATGAATGTTGTTTCCCAAGTTGAAAAGGCCATTTCAAATCTACAGTTTCATCTTATGGATGCAAAAAGTGAAGAAATTGAAAATCATTACAGAAATCGTCATTAATCATAAATTAATTGAGATTGCATCATTAGAGCGATTCTAAAAACTTTTAAGAAAAATGAGTTTCTAAAGACATCGCTGAATTTTAAACTACTTTATGAGACCATTTAGATGTTTCCGGAGAATCAGACCTCTGCAATATAGATGCTTACTGCCATGGCTGTCTATGTGTTCTGTTTCTAACTATTTTGTTGAGTCTTCTCACAGTTCATCTGCATAAAAATCAGACTAAGAAAATATCAAACCAAGCCTTGCATGCAGTCATTTGGGTCAAATCATATTTAATAAGGCAAAAAAATTTTTACCAGGACTTTGAAATAATTGAGTCAATTATTGCAAAGGTTGGAAAAAAAATCTATATCCATATGCAAGCAAAAAAATGAATATGTTTTACAGGTTGATAGTGTCGGATTTTGTATAGGTGTTTGGGAGTGAACTACTTTTCATACGTCGCTTTAAATGCTGGACTGGCGCCATTCACAAAGTCATTCATTCACTAACATTCACTAAGTCGTTTTTCTCCTCCTCACTCACTCTCTTACAAATTAAATTTTAAAATTTAGGGATGAATTTTTGGATAAAAAAGCATTTTTTTTTTTTTTTAATATAAATTATAAACAAAGCTTAAAAACAAAAAATTATGATTTTTTTCTTTTTTTTCTTTATTCTGGTTTATTTCTGGTTTATTTTTGTTTCATTTTTGGCTTGTGTCCTAAAAAAAACCTGGCAACCCTGTCTGTGACATATATATGACAAAGCAACAGAAAAATTACCTACGGCAAAAAGCGTTAGTTGTGTCGTTTCATGAGCGAGAGGTTTGAAGTTCGATCCCCACCACATCCCTGGTAGTACCGCGCTCAACTTGTTTCTACGCGCAGCGGCCTTGTTTGTCAAGGTTTGTGTTTCGGAGTTATTCAGTTGAGAGAGGGTTTTAACCACAATTAAGTACCTTCCTCGTGTGTAATGGCCTTCTCGGTCTTTTATTCCAGGTTCGAAACGAACTTTGGACATATTTCGCGTCACGGTAAGGAAGGAGGCGTGAACTTCCTGGTTAAATGCACTTTCGCGGTACTCTGTGACAAGACAAAATAGATGCAAGTTTCTAGACAGAACGGAATTTAAGGCAAAATAAATATGCAATATTTGCATTTTGTTTGATTTTGTGAATAATTTGTAATGATTCATACATTATATATATTTTAATATATATGACTATGTTTTTAACATTTTTATTGTTTTAATCCTATTTACAATTTTAGTTTTGATTTCATATTGAAGAATAATCTTAAAAGAAATTTAAATAAAAATAATCTTTGAAGGAAAAAAAAAATTGAAAAAAATATCTTAAAAGTTTTGTTTAGTAAAAACTTCAAAAATACTTAATACAAATTTACAATCTTGTTAATTAATAGCA